TTTCTTTCTTTCTTTCTTCTTTCTTTCTTTCTTTCTTTCTTTCTTTCTTTCTTTCTTTCTTTCTTTCTTTCTTTCTTTCTTTCTTTCTTCTTTCCTTCCTTCCTTCCTTCCTTCCTTCCTTCTTTCTTTCTTTCTTTCTTTCTTTCTTTCTTTCTTTCTTTCTTTCTTCTTTCTTTTTCATATTTTTGAGAAGAGTCTACAGGGTGTTCAGGATCTCACTACTAGATCAGAATCATAGTGATCTGCCTGCTTACAGCCTCCTGAGAGCTGGGATTACAAGTCTGCGCCACCATGCCTAGTCTCTCAGCATGCCCCAAGGGCGAGGCCAGCATGGCAGGCCCAGGACATTTTCTTTTCAAGTGGGAAGAACAATTCACACTTTCTTTATTATACCAGGCATTTCTTTTTCCTTTTCTATGTTTGACTGGCTTGTGTCAGTATTTGAAATTTTAATTATGGACACAATTAAAAGTTTTGTTTGATATCATTTTTACAAAATGAAATCTTCTTATCTGTCCCTATTTTCTTTGGTAAACTCATGCTTCTTTATTTTACTACCTTTATGACAGTGATTAAATAGTGATTCTTTATTGTTGTTGTTGTTTTAAATGGTGATTCTTACACACTTTAGTCTGTAACTTGCCAATTCCTTGTTTATTAATTTTCAGTGCTCTATTTTTCTTTCTAAAGCTGTAGTTACTACTCTTTAAAGCATGCCTTCATGCTCACTGGAAGCCTCCGAAAATTATAATACTACTATTGCAATTCTCAAACTTATTTTCCTTTTCTTATTATATTATTTTGGATTATGATTCTCCTAAATTATTTTATGAAGCTATAATTTAAAAATTTGGTTCTTGATTCAGACTTCAGGCCATAAAATAATGGTGAACCAAAATGATGTCTTTATTTATTTTTCTAAAATGAATTTTATTGAGAAAGCAATAGCAATGAGAGTTTTAAAACAGGTTAGTAGGATATTTACAATAATTACTACATTACATATTGTTGCCTTCGTACTATGTCTTAGTTTTTCTTTATTAACAGCAATGAGACAGTTTCAAAACCAATTAATAGGACACTTTCAATAACATTGCATATCGTTATCTTCTTAGTGGTTATTCATAGGACAAGATGCAGGCATGATATCCTGTCCAAATACTATTAGTACAAATCTTTCTCCTCATTGAATTAAGAGAAAGTAGCTATATATCTATCCTAAATATTTTGTATATACAGATACAAAATGGTTCTTCCTTTGTATCCCCTTTTTTGTTTAGTTTTGTAGAGATGGATATTCCATTACCGGTTAAATGCTGTAGGTGTGTGAATTCAGCAAAATAGTCCAATATAGTCCAGTAGTCCATAATAATAGTGGGTTATCTGTAGGACCAGCAATATCAGAAGTTGTTGACTTGAGCCTTTCACAGCTCAGCATATTAATATGGCTCTACTTTTTATACTTCGTTTTTACACTTTTCTGATTGTTAAGATCAAGATAATGCAAGACCTATATAATAAGAAATGTAACTTTTGTATCTGATAAGGTCAGTCAAGTCCCTTCAGGATTTATCATGTTACCTCTGTGCCACAGTTTGCAGTTCCTTTGTCAGCGTCAGCGATGTGGATGAGTCACAGCCATTGCTTGACCAATTTGCTCTCTGTGAAAGCCCGAGAGAATGTTTTCTCTCCATGTGACTCTCTTTACGTACACTCTATGTCATCAGTCACATTGCTCTCTGGCCCCATAATCTCCTTGATCAGAAAATTTGGGACACAACTGATTTACATGATATTATAATTTAGGTTCTCCTGTGTCCTGAGTCTTCACTGACCTTAAAAGGCTAGGACCAAAATTTTGGCTTTCCTTCCAACCCTTCTTTCTCTCTAATTTTTGGTCTGCAAACTTAGGTTATTAACCCTCCAGAAGAGAAGCTTATTATTACCCTGCAACATATGCAGTTGGGTTTAACCTCACTATCTCTCTGAATATCAAACATCTTAGGCATAACATGGAAGAGTTATTTTCCATCAAATATTGATATGCTAAACTTTAAGTCCCTACAGAATATGGAGAAAAAATTTTTAAAAATATTTTAAAAATATGAATAAACAATTACAAATTTTACACAGAAATTTAGAAATCTAACCATAAAAAGCATTGTAGCGGGACAATCCTGTGTCTTTTTTTTTCTTCTTGGCTCTTTTTTTCACTTATTACACTTTTTTTTAAAACAAACATTTACTTGAGAGACAGTATGGCAATAATTAGTTTGTCATGACAAGCAGTACACAGTTAGAAGACCAGAATGACAGACATTCCAAGTGTGAACCTTCTATAACATATTGCTTTCTTCAGTGTAGTTGCTTAGTTCACAGGGATCAGCATATGTATTTAGCCTGGGTGAGAATCCTACTAATTAACTGTTCATTTCAAAAACTTGCTGATGTTTCTCAGGATCATTGCTTTACCCATCTTGAGTGTATAAATGTATGGTTTTGCCCCTGTCATTTTTTCCCAGCTTTTCTCCTTGCCCTCTCCTGGTTGTCCAATCCTCATGTTCTCGCTTTCCTTTTAATTGTGTTATATCTTTCTATTTGTATTTCTTCTTTTGAGTTCTTATACTAGGGAGACTATATGATATTTACACATGTGGGTCTGGTTTATTTCACTTGTGAGCATGATAAATTTGAAGCATTTATATTTAAGTTGATGCCACTTGAAGATATACTCACATACTCAGAAATGATGTCTTTATTACCTGAAAACATAATTTAAACTATAATAACTACAACTACTTCACATCTGCAGCACCAATATTACATCCTCAATGATACACTACTACTGAACTACTTAGCTGGATTAAAACAAATTCAAATGAAATGATATTTTTTTGGTAGCTAAAATACAATTCTCAATCCATAAATATGAATTTCTGTTCTTTTTGTTTCTTTTTTAAATGTATTCAGTACAGAGTCTGCAGGGTCTCACTATGTAGATGGGACTCATAGTGAGCCTCCTGTTTTCAGCCACCCAAATTCTGGGATTACAGGTGCGACAACATGCCCAGTCTCAATTGTCATTTCAGTGTGTCCCAGGGGTGGGGCGGGGCACACTAGGGATCAAACCTGGTCGCTGCGCTCTGTTTAAGCAGGCGCTTTAATTCATTGAGCTATCTGGCAGGCCCTATGTATTTCTGTTCCTAATATCTCAGAAAATATGTCTTACATGACTATCATTTAGCGGTATCTTTTTAAAGTGTGGCAGTTACTATTGCATGGAATTCTTATCATTATAGATACAATTGGTTTGTTAGCTTTTTAATCCACCATGGAGCACTTTTTAAAATTCTTTTTATAGAATCTTCCTAAAATGAATTACTCTCAAGAGGTAAAGAAAAATGGTACTCTATAAATAAGAGGAGGAGAGGAAAACAATCACCATTAAATCAAATGCAAGATATAGGCATGTAGGTAATTATCTCGAGCAGAGTTGTAATTTTAAAATGAGCAGTTAATGGACAATGCATGTAGGGTTAGGATTAACTGAAATATTCAATAGTTATACCAATAAAATTACCATATAGGGCCAGACAAATGGCTCAGCAGATTAAAGCACCTGCAAACAGGTGCAGGGGCTAGGGGCTTGATCCCTGAGTCTGTCGTGCTGGCCCCACCCCAGGGCACACTGAGAAGGCAATTGAGACTGGGCGCAGTGGCACACACCTCTAATCCGAGCTCTTAGGAGGCTTTAAACAGGAAGTGCACTATGAGTCCAATCTAGTAGTGAGACCCTGGACACCTGTAGACCCTTCCCTAAAATATAAATAAATAAATAAATAAATAAATAAATAAATAAATTTTAAAATTACCATATAAACATTAAAATCAGAAAATCAAAGTTGCTTCAAATGATAGATTCTTCACCTCCATAGACTAAATATGGGGGTTTCACTGGGTCCTTATACTACAGATGAAGTCCAATGCCCACCTTGTCTTCCTCCTCCTCTCAGCACTTGGCCACATCCACCTCTCCTGTGGTTGTCACTGCAGCCTTCTGTTCTACAAGATTTTAGGTAACATACTTATTTTTTCAGAGAAGAATACCCCAGACACAAAAGTGAGCACCACTGATGTGTGGTTATACACTCTACGGTCTGAGGACTTGAGTCTCAGAGCCCCTAATTACACAAATTGTTGCATCATGTTTTCAGTTTCCAAACTTTCATCTCCCTTGGGTATTTAAGATTAAAATAGGAATAAACAACTACATATTTTTACATAGAAGTTTAGAAATCTAACCATATAAAGCATTGTAGCAGGACAGAATATGCTGAGCTGTAGAAGGCTCAAGTCTACAACTTCTGACATTTCCAGGCTTACAGAAAACCCACTACTATTATGGACTACTTAACTATGTTGAAACATTTTGCTGAATT